TAATTGCAAAAAGGACTCTACAATGAATTAGAAAAACCTAAGCAGAAATTTGGTGAAGGACATGAGCAGATAAGTCACACACGTCAAAGAAACACAATTGGTTAATAAGTACATTCTAGGATCTGGTTGCAGGCGGGGGCAGGGCTGGCCTGGCCCCTGTCTCAGGATCCCAGGCGTCGGCTGGTTCCGATGCTGGCCTGGATGTGTGGCAGGGAAGCCTAAGGCCCACGGCCCGGCCCCTCTCTCAGTACCCCTGGGCATCAGGCCGGCTCTGTTGCTGGCCAGGAGGTGCAGCGGCAGGGGTGGGGTGGAGGCCCAGGGCCCCTAAGTCTCAGGACCCCCAGGCAGGCGGCAGGCTGGCTCTGTTGCTGACTCCGTTGCTGGCCATCATGTTTGTATTAGTAGGGTGGTAGGATTAAGGATTCTTTTTTCATTTTCTAGATTTTTTCAATGTGTGTATATGTTTATATGTATAAAATAATAGCTACTGGGTATTGAGTAATTGCTATGTAACTGGCTCTGTGCAGTGTGCTTCAGACACATTCTCATTTTGGTTGCAGCTCTCCCTGTTAAATGGAGAAAGAAAGTGGAACTTCGAGTGGCTACCTGAGTTATATTAATAGCTGAACAGAATTTGAGTCTAATTCTGTCTGACTCCAAAGCCCATGCTAACTACTATACTATACAGCTTCACTAAATACTTCCTGAAAGAGTATTAAAGAAAAGCCTAAATACAGAAACAGGAAGAGGCTCTCCTACGGTTATGTTTAATTTAGTTCTTAAAATGATGACATTATTGGGGACAAAATAGAAATAAAACAGTGTAAAAGTAAGTTGAGAAAGAAAACTATTGTCATACTTATAATGATTCAGAATTAATATATTACAATTATTTCCTTAATGTCCAGATTTTGGTTTTCCAGATAGATTTATCTTAAGACTATTGTTTTGTACATAGTGATTGAGAAAACTATGGCAGTGTTTTAACTCAGAAGTTTGTTATTATGGGAAACTACATGAGTGTATTTAATAAGTTTTTTCTATGTCACGGGGGCATATTACAGATTGTAACATGTATTTCAAAGAGTGGTGCTTAAGAACTTTGAGGGAACCATACAGATACATGCTCAGACAGGTGCCCACAGATAACCTTTCCATCCCTCCCTTTTGTTGAGTGTAGGGTGAAATGGATTATTGTTCATAAATAGGATCTATCTTAGGTAGCCCATTCCAATTTCTTGCTATAATCTAGCTCCCACATGGAATTCCCACTGTAATTTTTAATATTTCACAGTAGTTAGGGGCCTGGGACCCAGAATCTCCCAGAGGAGATTACTGCATAGATTTCTCCGAAGGAAAGGGAATTGTTATCTAGTAAGCAGTAGAAGTCATCATTCACATCCATATCAGCGAAAATAGAGGATTTACTTCCAAATAACCCGATTTGTCTCAATAATTTCTTAAAAGTGGAATATATTGAGATTAATGAGAGGACATTTATTTAGTGTCTTCTTCTTAGTGCTAGTAGTAAAATGTTTGATTAGACAGTTTAAGAAATATAATCTTTAGGGCCGGCCCGGTGGCGCACTGGATAAGTGTGCCGCTTGGGAAGCGCGGCGGTGCTCCC